TCCCCCACCTTAAATGCTACTAAATTTTCCGCCCCTTCGTCAACCCTCCAAGATGGTCTTAAACTACCACTTCAAGACAAGGACTAAATAAACACCCTCTACCTTGTAGCAAGGTTGACGTAGTTTATTTCCCCCACAAATATATCATCTTTCTTAAAAATAAATCATTAGTCCGCACGAAAGATGCTCCCCGACATGTCCTACCACTTATATTCTTATTCCAAGTGAAGCCTTATTCTTATTCCCTATTAAGTATGTTTAAAAGATCAAGCCCTCAACCAACTCATTAAGGACCCGAACCAACTCTATGATCATAGTTTTCAATCAGGATAGATGAAGAGAGATAAAGAAGTTAAGAAAAGAAGCCAGTGCTAGAAAAGCCTCATGCTTAAAAGCCTCATGCTTAAACGAGAAGATAACCTCTCCTGGTCATACAAAACCAAGGATTACAATCAATCCCAAAAGAAGCATGAATTGCACATTGAAAAAGAGATTTTATAAGTCATAGAATTATTTTACATGCCATAGATACACACATTTATAATGCTTCTAGAACCTCACAATGGGAAGAAGAATTAAAGGAGAAGCCAAATACCAAAGAGAATCCACCAAAATACGTCATCATACCCCCGTGAAGAGAGGGCAGTCCACAAAAATGAATCAAAATGCAATAAATCCTTTTACAAATCCCGCAACATAGCTATAGTCAAAGGAAGCAGCCACAATAATAGCTAGTCATAGGAAATACCTGCAAACCAAAGCAAATGAAAGAAGCCAACTACAATCCCGCAATAGAGAACAACAAAAGGCAGAAGCAACAGGAGAAACCACAAGGAATCCGGAATAGATGTAGCAACCACCCACCAAAGAAGCTGGAGGAGAAGCCATGGGAGAAACTACATCACAATCTGATAGGAAACACTTTAAGATTTCAAGTAAATCCTATCAACAGAGCAAATACATCGAGAAATCTCCACAATTCCAATGGAAAACTAGTGAAAAACAGTAATTTTATTGCAAGAAAACAAACTACGGAAGAAAATAACAAGATACAATTGATCCTCTATTTGAGAGGAGGATCGATCTCTCCCAAATCTCTAGACGCCATTAGAGCCCAAAGAAAACCTATGAGATCTCAAATTTTAGTCAAACTCAAGATGCCATAACCCTAGGAAAACAAACTATTTAATGTATACAAATCAAAAGGAAATCCCTAAATAGTCCCTACATTCAAATTTCCTCCTAACTCCCTCAAAAATCCTTCCTAAACAGCTCACGCATGCCCAGGCATGCGTTCGACGCGTACAGGAGAAGGAAATGTTTGCTTCTATTCGCGTAAGTCAGCCCCATCGGACCGACTGGACCGGTCTAACAATACTCCCCTCCCAAAGATCCACCTTGCGCGCAAGGTGGAAAGATGCACCCTCCTCCATTAATTCTTCATCATAAACGGTAAGAACATGAAGAGTTCAATCCTTACACTTATGCCCTGGCGTATACCTCTCGTCACATCTGAAACAGATCCCCTTCGCCTTCTTCTCCTATAATTATGTTTATGTGAGCTTCTTGAAGTTTTCCCCAGGTCTTCCTCTAGAATTCTTCTCCTTCGAAGTCTCCCTAAGAATACCCGGTGTTGGCTCCTTGCTTGCCAAAAAGGTGGTGGTCATCATATACAAGCCTCCTAAACTATTGCCTCATGCTTCTTTTTACAAGTGCCTCTGATCCTCCACCAATTGAGCTAGCTAAATAGACTCTCCCAAGTCCTGAGGTCTCATCACTCTGACTGTTGTGCTGATCTTTAGTTTCAGTCCCTTCATAAAGTTCCCCTCCAGTACAGTGTCTGGAAGTCAATCTAATTACCTAGCCAGGTACTCAAATTGCTCACAGTACTCCATCATTGTCCCCTCCTGCATCAAAGCGAAGAACTTCCTGTAGAAGTCCCCTCCCCTGCTGGTTTGGAAACGTTCCAACATACGGTACTTAAACTCCCTCCAGGTTCTTATTGGTCGTCTCGTATCCCTCAATTAGTACCATGTTAAAGCTTTCCCTTCCAAACACATCCCGGCTACCATCAGCCTCTCCCCCTCCATCAACCTATTGACGGTAAAATACCTTTCCACCTTGTAGATCCACCCATGGGCATCCTCTCCTTCAAAAATAGGCATCTTCATCTTCCTCAAAATTCATATCGCCTCTATTCCCTTCATAATTTCTTCTTTCCCAAGGGGGTGGTTCCCCTCAAGTGTCTCAATCATCCCTTCTACGTTCATACCCAAGCCTTTCATTAAATTTACACCTTCTCCTTTCAAATTCAGCATCCCTTGTATCACAACAAACCCCTCCCCTTTCAGATGCAGTCCCCCTTCAGTCATAATTACGTCTTTCCCATTCAAATTCAGCCCCTCTCCTCTCCAAATCATCACATCTTCATTCTTGTTCCACCACCTCACGCTTCTCCCCATACCCCCTACCCAGCTCCCCCATATAAATAGGCTCCATGGGAGGCCTTCTCTCTTTCCTTTTTAAGTCTCCACCTCCTGATCTTCATTTTGCCTTATTGGATTAGAGTTTTCTCCACTTCCTAGGTTGCTAGAGGCTTCCCTTGCCTCTGACAATGCCGTTTTCAATTGGCCCTCGAGCAACTTCTTTATCATCTCCCCAAGGCTGAAAAAATTTCCATCCATCTTCTCATTGATGGCTGAAATTTGACTTTTGACATCTGAAAGTTGAGTGTGGAGATCTGAAATTTCAGTTTTCAATTGTATAATCTCCCCTTCCAATAATTCTACCTTCATACATGCCATCGGTACCCGGATCTAGGCTCCAAACAACAAAAACGGCCAAAAAACAACAGTTTCTAGCGTTCAAACAGCAAAAAACAGCAGCTCGGTGAGTAAAACGCAGCAAAAATTAGTGAGGAGACTTCAATTTCTGGCCAATAAATTGCTCTGATACCAATTTGATAGAAAACACTTGAAGATTTCAAGTAAATTCTATCATGAGAGCAACAACAACGAGAAATATCCACGATTCTAATGGAAAACTAATGAAAAACATTAATTGTATTGCAAGAAAACAAACTACGGAATAAAATAACAAGATACAATTGATCCTCTTTTCGAGAAAAGGATCGATCTCTCCCAAATCTCTAGACGCCGCTAGAGCCCAAAGAAAATCCATGAGATCTCAAATTTCAGCCAAATTCAAGACCCTAGGAAAAAAAATTATTTAATGCATACAAATTAAAAGGAAATCCCTAAACAGTCCCTACATTCAAATTTCCCTCCTAACTCTCTCAAAAATCCTTCCTAAACAGCTCACGCACGCCCGGGCGTGCGTTTAACGCATACAGAAGGCAGAAATGTCAACCTCTATTCACGTAAGCCAATCCCGTCGGACCGGCACCGGCTGGACCGGACTAACACAATCACTGTCCTTTTCCTCTTCAAATTTATCCTAGAGCACAAGCACTCACCAATATGATAGCATTATAATATGATTATAAAACAACTTACAGCTTCAGCAATTGACAATTGATTCTCCGAATCATTAAAAAGAGTACAAGTGATGTAAGCAAGCCCCCCCCCCCCCCCCCACCACGCCCCCCCCCCCCCCCCCCCCCCTATATTTGTTTTTGGGCTGATTTGGGGGGCGGCTGAGCTGCTGGCTACTTGACTTGGCTGTTCGGTTCCTGTTTCCCTGGTTAGGCTGTTCAGTTCCTGGCTTTCCCAGTTCCCTAGGCCTTAGTTGTTCGGTTCCTATTCCCCTAGCTTGGCTGTTGGGTTTCTGTTGTCTGGCTTTTCCTGTTCCCTAGCCTGGGTTGTTCGGTTTCTGCTTTTGACCCTTGGCTTTCCCAATTTCTAGTGGGTTCTTCCGTGGCTTTAATGTTGCCTTTTACCTCCCCTTTCGGTTGGTTGTAGGGGCGGCTTAGCATGGCTTTTGGCCTCTTTTTCTTTCCTATTTATAGGAGAGTTTTGGGCTGTTGTGTGCAGTTTTTAAGAATGAAAAAATGAGAATTTTTTGAAAAAAAGCATGAAGGTTCTTTAGCTTGCGAGCTAAGTCTCCTTATCACTTCTTTTCTTAAACTTCGTCTCGGACTTCTATCTATTTCTTCTCTCCATGGTAATCCTTCCATTTGTATCTTTCTTCTCTTAAAATGTTTGTGTTAAATCGTAAGTTGCAAGGTAGTTGCATCTTGTCTTGTCTTAATGAAATTTCATATGGCTTCTAAGAGTTGTTAGAAACTTTGTTCTGTCCTACTAGGTGGTGTTTTGTTATGTTATATTGCGGTGTGTTTAAGTTATTTTTGAAAGGGAGACGTCAATATTATTTGCAATCTTAGTTTCCTTAAAATTTTGATTGCATCAATAAGTGCTACAAAAGTACTGTGACAAATTCTTTTCTAAATTTGTAATAGCTAGAAATTCACGTTAGCAGCATTTCCTTTACCGTCAACAGAAAATTAAAATAAGACAAACAATTGGGACTGCTATTAAAACAAACTCTTACTCTAGAAAAGTCAAAATATCTGCATGCTAGTTGGCGGACTCAAATAGACAACTTTTCCACTAGGCGGTTTTCAAAGGGAAAATCCTACACGTGGCATGAGGAGCCAAAGAACTTATAGATACATTTACAGGATAGATGATCGCATCCAGGTTCCCATAAATTTCCATAAAACAAAGATTTTGCTTTATGCAACTTACATGCCCCTTAAGTGATAGGTCAATACAAAATTTTTGCAGGTATCATGCAGCAAGCACATTGAACCACCGAGATTCCATGTGCATTAAGGTGCATTAAGGCACACACCATCCCCAATAACAATAAAAATCTAGTAAAAAACAAAGACAAACAGAGTAGCATATTGGCATGGCAACTATAAATGATTTGAACATTAATGCTAGCAATAAGGAAAAAAAAATAAAAGCAAATCATGACGCAAATCATAACTTTTCAAAGAGAGGAAGGAAATATTGAAAAGAAGATATTAGTTGTACCTGTAAAATGATATATGAATCTCCAGAGTAGAATTTACCATAGTCAGTCTTTGACAAAGGAACTGGCTCAAAGTTCTCAATACGCCAAATCTCCGTGCCTCTATGTCGTGTTAAGTAAATGGCGAGTACATGGCACAATAAGTTATAAACATACGCTAAAGTGCTCACCAAAAAACCTAAATAGCTGAAAATTATTCCATATAAGATATTTAAACAGTAAACACCACAAAGCCTGAGTTACATGAAGGATACACTCTTTGGCCAGCTCCTTGAAATGCAGGGTCCAGAATTTTTGTAGGGCTGGACATAATGTGATTCTAGCCTTCGCAGATATGTACAACAGTATCAATATCTGATATTATATCTGCATTGTCCGTTGTTTGAACAGATAAGTTGACATGTATCATACAGAATCTTCAGCATTTTTCTTCAAAGAGGCTAGTGATACTCTTTACTAAGATAAAATCATAGTAAAAGGTTCAAAAGATATTCTAATGATATTTTATACCAATCTGGAATTTTATTAGTAAAAATTCAAACTAAAAAATATAATGGAAAATATATATCAACAAAATTCACAGGAAGAACAGTGAAAATAAGAAAAACTTTCTAATCACGTTTATCATGTATCTTGAGCTGAACTTGCCAGTCATCTAGGACTTACTGTTCTTAAGCTCATTTCTAGTTTTCCAACATATAATGTTAGATGAAATGAGTCCTAAAACACCTATTTTCTTTAGGATGCTGAAGTTCATTAGGTGTGCCATATGAACTCTTTGTCAAAAAATCGAATGGAATGGGGAGATGACCATAAGGAATCCAGTGGAAACACACCCTAAGAAGCAATATATGTAACAAAGTAATCATAAAATCACAAAAAAGATACCATGACCTTTCCTACATGAGCTTGTTTTCTAATATGCAATGCCAGAATTTCAAGAGCTAGAGATGATCAGTACAATAAGATTTTTCTTGGCATGCAAAACACATTTTTAAGCCATGCCCCAGCCTTGACAAAGCAAATCAAATAAAATATTTAAAATAATACAAATTCTACTTGTCTGGTAAATATGTAATCCTTATAACTTCCACAATTCCAATTAAAATGCATGTCCTCAAAATGTGACAAGTATGAAATTATAATTCACAACAACATCGGAAATTTGTAGTTGATAATCCAAAATGCTGAAAAGGTTGAAACTCAATTGGTCTATTGACTCTATTCTAATGTAAGCTCTTCAGCAACATAGGTTTGCTCCATCACTATACAGACTCCAAAAGCAAAGAGTTTAGTACCAAAGCATTTGAAGCTTTTCCCGGTCGAAATTGATAGAGCTAATGCTTAAGGATTAGAAATTTTACATATTCTAGTGATGTTAATCCCAAATAGATGTTGCAAATTACCAGTTATTAATCTATATACTTATAACATAATTCTTTTTGCATCGTCTTTTTGTGATCAATCATACAGCTGATATAATTCACTAATACATATTATTTTTGTGATCAACCAAAATCTCCATTTAGTCATCAAAAACAGAAGTAATCAACAAAATAACTGAACTTTCAGCAGAAGAGAAAACACATACAAATACTAGAAGCAAGTATATTTTTTTATCAAGATGAAAAGTAACCCTTCCATAATCAACAATTTTAATTTATGCATTTCATTAAAAAAACAGTAAAACAAAAAGTGAATAACCCTTCCATAATCAACAATTTTAATTTATGCATTTCATTAAAAAAACAGCAAAACAAAAAGTGAATAAAACTTGTGGAAAACCTCCACCTTCTTTACAAATCTAAACAATTGCGACACAATCAATCATATATGTTTTTCTAATTTTTTTTATGTAGCAAGAACTCAAACAATTCAACACCAACAACTAAAGTAGTGTTTAAGCATCGTAAGTGCTTCCCAATAACATGCAGTCGCAAATCAATTGCAAATCCAACTGTATAATTATATAGCTAAATTCCATCTATACCACACACATGCACACCTTTTGCTCCGTAATCCTTCCTAGTCAACTAGTAAATAAGTGATTACCTTCTTTAAAGAACACCAAGTAACCTAGCCTTAGAAATCAACTAAGAAATACAAAGACCAACAATCAGTACACTGCAAAATACCCCCCAAAAAAATCAACGAGAAAGCCAACTTCAAGAGATGCTTTCACCAGCACTCGCCTCGCTGGTCGCCATCAACAATTGACAAAACTTCGTCTGAATCAGAACTTCTACCAAATGAGGAATCTAACGCCTACAGTAACTACTCCCACCTTTTCTCCAGCACCCAATCAACGTCGTAGCAATCAACAGCGTCTCCCACCCAACTTGACACGTCAAACAGCGCCAGCAGATTCATAAAACACCTCGGCCCAACCGCGGATCTAAACAGTGAGGACAAAACCTATAGATAATTCGAGATTCCCCATCAAAGCATGAAAAAACGAAGCCAAACACACTGAAAGCCCAATCAATCAAAAATAACGAAAAAAAAAAAAAACATCTTCCTGAATTAAAAACACCACTTGTTCTCGTTCATCCAACGCATCGATTCTAAGCTAAAAAAATGCAGGCGATCACTCAGCGGAGATGATTCACGAAAACAAGCTCCAGAAATCGAAATAATAAACAAGCGAGAGGGATCGAAAATTGGTACATACGATGATTCACGGCGGCGGAAAACAGCGGTAACTGGGATCGGAATGTCGGGATGGGTTGGCAGAAGATGCGATTACTTATTGAACCGAAATGATATCCCTCTCTCCTATCTTTCTCTCCCTTCGCTTCTGCCACCTCCTTTTTCTCGCTTTTGCATTTTTTTTTTTTATATGGATTTGCAATCAATGAATTAATTTGTTAAAAAATTATATATATATATATATATATATAATTTTTTATATAACGGATATCCACCGTCTGTCACCTCCAACAGGATATTTGACCGCATGACTAATCCTCGACTGACCTAGAAGAGGCACACTTCCAAGAAACCTCCTAGCATGTACTTGATTGGGCCCCGCTTAAAAGGCGCTGCTGCTCAAGGGGGTTCGAGCACAGGTTGGGAGGTTTCTAACTATACTCACCCACCAACTAAACTAAACATCAATGGATAATATTATATTTTTATTATATATCCTTTTTATATTTCTCTAAATGAGAATATAAAAAATATATATATTGTGACAGCTAAGTCATTTACAAGCTTATATTATGAGAAATTTGATTTTTATATTTTTCTATGATTTAAATATTAAAATATTCTCGTTAATGTTGTAATTAATTGTAATTTTAAAAATTTTATATGAAAATCGAAAATCATCAAGGAATATCATTTTTCATACTATTAAAAAATCTGCTTATATTAAATTATTTTTTTAATAAAGAAAGACGAAACATTGGACCGGCGCGAACCGACCAAACTGCCACGCACGGCTGGCATTAAAGCGCAGGTGACTTGCTGGCCAGGGAGACCGGGATCTTCTCGTATGTTGGAAGGACAGTATTTAATACTTCCAAGATCTTAATCGTCCATATGTAGATCGTGCCTTTCGTATAGGGTCGGACCGATCTGTTGTGGAAAAACCTTGTACAGGAAATCATTTGGCAAAGCGCGCGGTAGGGCTGATAATTATCTTTGAAACTAATTAATAAATTGAGTTTATATTACAATCATAATTAAAAATTAATGAATTTAAAAGTTAAAACATTATAATAAAATATTTAGTTATGTTTTCTTTTAATTATATTACAGAGTGTTCGAAAACGTGCCACGTGGCATTTCTTTTTTATTTTTTTCAATAAGATAAAATAATTTTTAAAGATCTATGTGTAGAGTTGTGGGCATATCTTATCTATGAACTGTCACACTTTTTAATTCTATATTTTGATATAAATTATATTTAAATAATATTTAAAACTATGAATTTTTTTTAAATTAATATTATATTAAATTTAAAATAAATTTGTTAATTTGAACGATTATTTTTATATAATTTATATCAAAGATAATTTTAGATTTTTTTTTTGTCATTTAATAAAGGATATCTATAAATGACACGATCCAATAATCTAATTTGGACATAACTTGAATTTTTTAGTTTAGGTCGACCAATCTAATAAACAGGTTGATCTTAATTCAATTTTCTCACCCGTTTCATCTTAGGGTTGACCTGAAACTTGAAAGTAACCATTTTTTTATTTGAGTTTATGAGTGTACTTCATGTAGAATCAAAAATTTCTTTATAATTAGTAATACTTGTTGCATCCTGAAACATTCGCGGCGGTAGAGAAGTATATAGTTTAAAGTCTTAACGTTGTACAAAGATCCAGCACACAAGCAGATGAAAGAGAAAGAGAGATGGTGCTGCATGTATAAGAGACACAAGAGTTTTTATGTCCTAAAAAATGGGAAAAACCACGGGGCATGACCCAATTTGAAAGAATCCACTAGTATTTGCAAGTGATTACAAATGAGGCCCTTCCTTGAAAGAAGGCTTTGGCTTGATGTCACAAATGTACATCATATAGAGTGCATTACATTAATGTAGACATATTTGTTTGGTTGGTAGGACCATAGTCGATATGACAGAGGTCACAAAGACCATACTAGGCCACAGAAGTCAGAAGGACGGTAGTAGTATGGTGGTACTCCAGTATAACTCAGGGAGTTAGGTGGTGGTCCGAGAGAAGTTCGGGCCTCAGGTGTTGGCCCGGCAGCTAGCACTCCAGTGTCAGGCGGTGTCCCGACAGTGACACTTCAGCGTCAAGGGGCACTCCAGATTCGGGTGGCACTTTGACTTCCTTAGATGGTCTAGTGGTGGTTGACAGAACTTGGCGGTAGTGTAACAGAACTCTGACGGTGGTGCGGCAGAACTCTGTCGATGGTCGAGGAGGAGCTAGGCTGTTGAAGCTTTCTTTATTCTCTTCGTTCTCCTCTCTTGGCTCTTCCCCTCTCAAGAGAAATTAGATGTCTATTTATATATTTTCTGTAGTGGCACGGCCCGTAAATAAGTGAGAGATCAAGGGTAAATGGGGAGGGTTAGATGGACGGCAGATGTTGAATCTCTTGATCATGCACCGTTTGTCAAACCTTTGTAGGCTTAAATGATGTTGGAATTTGGCGATCTTGGGCTCGTTGGATTTGTCTCATCAAGCCGCTCGATTCGACTATATGCACGTCATATTTGGAAACCGTTTAGTAATCTAAATTGTAGTTTGAACCTTCCAACAGCGCTTCGGGTCCTTGATTTGGACTCATTTGGGCTCGGATTGAGTCGAATTTGGTGTCGTTGGGTTTGTATTTCCGAGACTTTCAGTTCGACTATAAGTTTGCTGAAATTGGAGTTTGGATGGTCCCAATTTTAATTTTTAAATTTTCCAACTTGATTTTGCATCGATATTCGTGCCCAATCAAGATAATTTTTGGATGATGTATCAATACTTATTGATAACATTGTACATTAAAACCTCGTTCCCAATTTTAATTTTTGAAGTTTCCAACTTGATTTTGCATCGAGATTCGTGCCCGATCAAGATAATTTTTGTATAACGTATCAATACTTATTGATAACATTGTACATTAAAACCTCGTTGATTAAGATTTGTTAATTAAAATTTGTTGGGAAGAGTATTAGATTGGCTTTTTTCACATTTTTTTTACAAGCCATATTGCCTAATAAAAAAATTATATAAACATGTTGGCGAGTCATGTCAGGTCAAATTGGTTATTGTCGAGTCTGGTTCGATCTTAGATTGTGGACTATTTCCTCGGGCAAATTTCAAATTGGACCTGAACCCAATGCATTAACTCATTTTGCCACTCTAATTTAACTTACATGCATGTTTATTATGATCGTGCAAAGTTTTTTTTTATTTTTAAAAATAATAAAGAAATAAAATAAAAAGATAGTGCAAAGGTATTTCTTAATTAAAAATTATTAAAAAAAATATTTCAATAATATTTTTTAAAATTGATATTTTATTATTTTAAATATCCCAATTTATGTTGTGATATTATCATTATCCACATCCCCATGTACATTACCAATTGGGGCTAGTTAGCTAATAATTAAAAAAAATGATAATTACATCACATATCAATAAATAAAAATTAATTCTTATGATATTCATAATTTTTAAAATATAATATATCAGTGAGGAAAAAACTTATGTTTGTATATATGGCTTCATATATTTATAGTTCATCTCTAATTTATAATTTATAAAAAATCAAAATATTTATAATTATTTGAAAATTAAATATGAAATTTTAAAATCTTAATTTCAATACATTTCCGAGTTTTAACATAAATATATATTATATTTTAAGACAAAAAACAAAAAAAAAATTAAAATGTTTTTTACAAAATATGCATACTCGCCAAAAAAATTTAAAAATAATACTAAATTAATATCACATATCATAATTAACCATTTTAATAAAAATACAACTAACCTAGTAAGGTAAATAAATGACCCGACCTAAGAACCAGACTCAAGTTTGACACACAAAAATTTAGGTTTAACTCATTCGATAAATGTGTCAGGTTCAAAATTTCGACATGTTTAATAAATATTCGGGTGGACCAATGTGCCCAATTTTGATTCTAAAATAACCCATTTAATATTTTTCAATTCTTTTTATTGTTAGTATAATAATTTTTATTTTTATTAATTAATCTAAAACATGTATTAAAAAATAATTTAATCAAAATGGGTTATGAGTCATATTCGGGTCATTCGGGTCCAAGTCTATCTTTTTAAACTTTCTTCATCCACGTCTCAAGTAGTTACCTCTCGCTATACTGATCAGTTAAATCATCTCCTCTTCTCCAATCCCGCGCTCTGATCACCTTTAAACCCTTCAAGATCCGATCTTTTGCGCATTTTCCGTTTCCAAACATCCATTTCTTCGTCTTCTATGTCTTCCCCACCCACTTCATCTTCCATGTCTTCCCCATCCACTTCATCTTCTATGTCTTCTCCATCGCTTTTGCACGGTGAAGAACCCTGTGTCGATCCTCTGAAACCTAACTCAGAACCGGAAAACCCTAGAATCGGCATTTCGATTGGCTCGGCGTCTGTTTCATCCGTTTCAAATAGTTGCAATCTGGAAATGTGCACGGAGACACTGGGATTCGAAAACGGCGCAATGTGCTTTAATTGCGAGATGGAAATTGACGCCGAGAGAAAGAAGAGGTCGCCGGTGAAACAGGGAAGATCTGCGGCAACGGTGTTTCCGCCGCCATTGACGACGCGTAGAGGAAAGGAAACGTTGATTTTGATGAGGAAGAGAGAAGAAGGGAGGCTTCTGTTGATCGCTTTCAGGCCTTTGGTTCTTGAGGCTGAGAGGAGTGGCGGGAGGCTGGTGCTTCGGATGTCGGCGAGGAGGGGTTTGAAGAGCAAAGGGGAGAAGGAGGAGGGGAAAAAGGTGGAAGAAGAAGGCGAGAAGGAAGAGTTAGTGGTGAAGTATGGCTGCGGTGGGAAGCATTGGAGCGCGGCCGCCAGGTCCGCTGGTTCCGACGCTTTGTTGCTGGCTAGATAGGATTGGAAGCTTCGGTTAGGGTTGCAGAGCACCATATCTTAGGGATTGGAAGCTTCGGCTCTCATCATAGTAAGATCATGAGTTTGATGTATAATGCATATAGTAAGTGATTAGAGAGAGAGAGAGACTTTTTAGTTGGATACATATTAAATACAATACAATGTTTTGTTTGTGTTTGTTATGATGTATTTCAAATGTATTGAAATAATATGACGAGTAATAGTAACTAACGAGCAACAAAGGTGGCGACGTGGTGATGGCCGGCGATAATGAGAGGCAAACGGGGAAGATGATTTTGTGATTGTGAGTTTTCTTAACATTTAGAGTTCTCTTGATTTGGGCAAATTGTTAATTATTCAGAAATAGTCGTCTTTGAGATGTCGCACGAATGCTTTAGTAGCTTACTATAGGCTTTGTTTGAGACAACTTTCTTATTGTTTTTTAAGCTAATTTTTGTGCAAAAATCTATTGGAAACAGGAAAAAAAACAATAGTTTAAAGTTCTCTCAAATGAAGCCAGTCTTCATAAATTTTGAGGGTTGTAATTTTTGTTGAAGACTATAATTTGGATGATTATTTTGATTGTGACGTGCTTACATAATTTTATAGAATTCTGCTGATAAACATTTGATTGGTGTCTAACAAAAAAATAGTTATGAACAACTTGTGCTACTAAAGAGATATTATTGTGTGCTAGAATATTTATAGCACCAAAGTAATATAATAATATTTTAGTTTAGTACAAAGTTTCAATATGGATTAAAAAAAAAGGAGTTTATAAACAACAATTGAATTTTTATGTGAAAAAAAAAAAGAAAGAAAGAAAAAATCAATGGCTTTAGCCAAGTTGAAATAATCAACTTTGTGCATGAAATTGTAGAAGCCCTCTCTTCTCACTATTGAAGAAGAGGGGTTTATAAATTGGGATCACTTGTTTGTTCTTATGTGGATGTAATATATTTTATGGGAGAAATAGTAGAAAGTAACAATGATGACCGCGCGCGATGACAGCCAAGCGATGGTAGCAAATGATAATAATTTGGAAGTGGTGGACGGGCGATGACGATAAGATGAGGGTGGTTGGATGATGTTGTAGTCATCGACATCGTTCAATTGGACTAAGATACAAAGTTCAATCTCCAAGCTCAATCTAATTTTAAGTCCAAACCAAAACTCCTTGGAAAAAAAAAAGATTCTATTTATAGGTTTTTTTGTTGTGTTTTGGCTATTTAGTTAAAGTCTTTAAAACACTCCATCAGATAGCCTCTGTTGATTATTTTGATCAGCACACTTCTCTCATCATTTAATTACATTAATAATATTTGAATTGGGCAATCTTAGGCTTCGTTTGGGAAGGTTTTTTTATTGCTTCTTAAAGTAGCTTTTTGTATAAAAATTAAAATTTTTATAGTAAAAAGCCGGTTTAAGAAGAAGTAAGAAAGTTTCCCCAAACGAAGCTTTAGACTATTTAGATTTCGCTTGTCAAAGTATTAGCTTTGATTGTAACCATGCGAGAATCGAAAATCATTTAGCCCTCCAATTAATGTCACTCACAGTGTTTTTAACTATGCTTCGAGCGCCTAATTTAGACTCATTTAGAGTCAAATCAAACGACTTTTAGTATTGTTGAGTTTATCTCATCTAGACATTAATTTTGATTAAACACATGTTGAAATTAGAGCTCAAACAAACTTGAATCTAATTCTTAAACCTTTCAATTCTAACATTCCATCAAGATTCGGGATTGGATAGGTTTTATGATGAAGTATCAAATATAAAGAAAAAAAAAAGTGATAAATAAGTATAAATACAAAATTTATACTATTCTACTAAAGCTAAAATAATATAAAATAACAACTTCAAAATGTTAATTAAATTTTCACATAAAAAATTTACAAAAATGTGTTCATTTACTTAAAAAAAAAAGATCATGCACAAATGTGTCGCTCTCTCAATGGATGGGCATTATCAATACACACTACATTCATACAATAACTATATAAGAAATTAGAAATGTACATCTATAATTGACATTTTATTATGATATTTACACATCAAATATTTATGTGCACACATATAATTTATATCTTATCTAAGTGCATAATCTGATGTGGCATGCTAATTAAAGACCTTGTTTATCCTTATCCAATTAATAAAAAACTTGATTAAAATTGAGATTCAAACAAAATTGATTTTTTTAGCAAATTTTGCATTTCATTAATTGAGGCTTCATTTGGGACAACTTTCTTACAGCTTCTTAAAACAGTTTTCTAATACAAAATTTTCTTTTTCAAAAGATTTTGTACGAAGAAGCTGCTTTATATAGCAACGCGAAAGTTATCCCAAATAAAATCCGAGAATTAAAAAATTTGTGCTGAGAGAGAGAGAGAGAGAGAGAGAGAGAGAGAGAGAGAGAGAGAGAGTGTGTGTGTGTGTGTGACAATGAATTTTTTATTTGAAAAAACTAGAAAAAGAAAAAAATTAGGAGGCATGATCCTATTAAAATGATTTCACTAGTAAATAATATATTATAAATGATGAATTGTTGAGATGAACTGCATATAAGTTAGCTTCCATGATGGAGAAAGAGGATTATTAAGATGTCAAAGTTACATTAAGTAGAAGATCAATGTTGGTGTTCTTGGATATGGTGGGAGCCAATGTTCTTACCGATGACATATATTATGTCATTGTCGCCATTTGTCATTGTTGGTGATGATGATGGGAGATGGCGAGCATCAGTCTTACAAGTGATAAAAGGTATATGCATTATTGGCAATGATAGGCATCAATGCTTGCTAATGGTGGACATTGGGTGATAGCAAGCAAAGCTCGGATTGGAGTCCTCCATGGGGCCCCATTTTGATCTATTTGAGTTTGGAGTGCTACCAAAATTAATTTTTGAAGTTTCCGAACTGATTTTGCCTCGAGATTCGTGCCCAATCAAGATAATTTTTGCATGACGTATCAACATCAAATGACTTATATTGAATCATTTGATTATAAATTGTTCAATATTTAAGTATCTTAATGATCTCATAATCGAGTAACTTTGATCTCATTGGATTCATCTCATTTATCAATTCAACTTAAAATTTACTGAAATTTGAGTTTGAAATATTCTGTATTTAATTCTGAAAATTTTGAATAAAAAAATTAGATGAAGATTCATGCTTCTCAATTAAAATTCTTGAGAAGTATGTATGTATGTATATATATTGATAGGCTGATAGCTTAATAATTTTGTGATATCAAAATTGAGAAATTTTTGGGTCTTATCAAGATGCTTATTTTCATCATAAACATATAAGATTTGTTTTTAACAACCATAATATTTTATAAAAATGGTCATGAAGCTGATTTGAAGAAAATAACTTTTTTTAAAAAATGCTATGTATATTATAAATATGTTCTTAAAAAAAATGAACAACTTTTTTAAGGTTATAATACATCAACAACTCTGATTGTAAAATATAATTTCTCATAAAAATTTTTAAAAAACAATGAAAAACAACCAAAAAGCAACAATCAAATAGGACTGCTATTGCTGAAAAAACAACAAAACAATAAGAAAGCTGATCCAAACAGACCTTAATCCCTCAAATTATTTTATAAAATTTCCCACTCTACTTTCAAGTGCTCAATTTAAGCCTACTTAAACTCCAATAAAGATGTTCTTAATATTGTTTGGTTTCTCATCAAAACAGACCATTTCACTTAGAAAACAAAAGCACTTAGAATTTTTAAAATTACACAAAAATTTGCTCTTGTAGCAACTTATCATCTTACTAAATATAATCTAAAGAGACATTCAAATAATCAACTTTCATTAAGAATATAATATCAATATTGAAATATATTTCTTTCAAAAATTTATCTGTTCGAATTGTTGTAAATAAAAATAGTTGAATATTACTTTAATAAATAAGTTTCAAGTGTTAATATATATATATATATATTTGTTATTATATAAAAAATGTATAACAAACATTTAAATAAAATAATTATTTACAAAGCCAAAACATTGAATTGGAACAGTTATTCAAATAGAGACCTGGAGCCTGGAGGAGGCTTCTAATTCAAAATCAAGTGATTCTTGTCAACAAATTCAAGAAAAATTTACTATGCAATACAAAAACGTCAAGTTTTACTTGATTTCAGGATATAGTGAACTAAGGCTTCATTTGGGACGGCTTTCTTCCTGCTTCTTAATGCGACTTTTTAGTATAAAATCTAAATTTTTAGTACAAAAGCCGGTTTAAGAAGTAAAAAAGCCGCCTCAAACGAAACCTTAGCTTCGGTTGGGGAAGCTTTTTAATACTTTCAAAAGCAACTTTCTAATACAAAAATTTCTAATCCATAAAATTTTTATACTAAAAAGCTTCTTTAAAAAGCAGTAAAAAAACTATCTCAAACGAAGCCCAAGTTACAAAACATTTGAGCAGAGCCAAGAAATCAGGCAATTATCCCAGCACATCCAACGAGAAATTATTACGTGTGCCCACCGGGCTATCAGGAGGTCAATCAGGACGCGCCACGTCACCCGAAACATAATGGTTCACAATGACGGTACACAGTAAATTGGTGATGTGACACATCTTGATTGGCCTCCAAATGAAATCTGGTGACCACACTTGTAATAATTTAGCAAATTCAACAGTTTCTCCGTTCCAGGAACCATACTAGAAAAAAAAAAATAGTTAAACGGTTTATTTTCATTTCTCTATTTTTGTTTTTCCTTTGAAACACAGATAGATCAAAGACATTTTGTAACAAACTGCAACAAAAACTAGGAAAAGATAACAGCAGCTAAAAATGGGCATTAGCGCAGTACTTTTCAATCTAAAAAAAAATGATTCAAAATATATGGGGGTCGCTTAATCCTCCATCTTCTTGCAGATGTAGATATAGTGAGAATCTGGATCTTCAAGAACATATTCTGGTGCAAGTAAACCCTCTTCTGTAAGTGGAACAGGCTCCATGACTGATCTCAGTGAGCTACTACTGCCCACAACACTTTCAAAGCCTGCCCTGGCTGAACAAATTCAACAACAATGTTGGAAGGAATGATATATAATATGAAATAAAAGTATGATATGTGAAATGCATCTCTGATGAAGTATGATCTGCAATACTACTTGTTTGAGTTCAAATATGAATTGAAAAGCAACAATTGTAGCGTTTTCATGAGCTGATGGTGAATGTTTCATGTACTGACCTGTAATGAGCTTTATTGCAACGTTTAAAACTTTATAAACAATCACTCTGTATCAAGCTTAATACTTATCATTTAGAGAAAATGATCAAAATAGTTCAAACTCTTTATAAAGGATCAAAATCTATATTAAAAGAACATTTTGGTTCAACTCCTTAAAGAGAATTAAAAATAGTCTCATGAGACAATTTTGATTCCTTTTTAAAAACAAACGAGACTAAAATGATCAATTAATATAGTTTGAGAAATATCATTTTGATCCTTCATGAAAAGTTAAGGGACTATTTTGAGCTTTTTTTCTCAGATAATTTTATTAGCGAACAGGAATACAAAACATGCATTTTGCTCCAGTTTCATGAGGCATGTAGAATTCCCGTTTCCAGAAGGGTTTTCACTTCACTTAACTCTAATCAAGAAGTTTTCCACTGCTCCCACAGAAGAGAAGATTTTGGGTTCAACCCGCACAGTTAGCAAAAGTAGAAGGCCAAATTCTAACCTGGGATGGTTTTTAAAGCACGAGGTTCGGCACTAGTTCTAAGCAGCAAACAACAAACCACTAAACAGAAAGTCCAATCATTCTCAAGCAAGATATCCTAACACAACTACATACAAAGTTTTACTAACACAATTAACGCTTTATAAATCGGAAAGAGTAATGATATACTTGCCAAATAAATTCATATATTTTTTTGAGACTATTAAGCCAATTAAGACAAACTCATACACACATCTTGTTGGATATTAATCCAAATTTTAGGTTGTTTCTTTGTATTTTATTTAGATTTCTTTAGTTTGTGTTGCCTTTGATATAGCCTATTATGTCTATAAATAGTTGTAATAGGTCGTAATAGAGGTATGCCATTTTAATAGAATTTCTATTTACTTTCTTCCATCTATTTCTCCCTCTCGAGAAGCAGAGCTTCTCTCCCTCTCTAAGATCCTACACATCTCATATGCAAACTTCGAACAAAAAACCTTTTAATTGATAGTTAAAGCTCTCAACCAACACATCTAATATGAGCTGCAATAAATTCATACATTAAATTCAGTGTTGATGTGGATGCATGTGGCCTCGTATAGAAGGAGATAGATGAGATGTGGATAGTGGAAGCTGATTTAGCGCACAAGAAGTGATGGGGGCATCGACAGGAGATTCCGGCGCGTTTATCAAAGACGACACCGGAGATCGACGGCCATGATGGAGAACCTGTACTACTGATGACTATTTGTATCTGCATTTTTTATTACTTATTTATTTTCAGTTTTTTCCCATTTTATCCTTGTGGGCATTTGTTTTCTCTTGTAGCCCAAGGGACGTATTAGACTTTTGTACTTATTGTCATTTGGAGCCTATTTATATGGCTCTTGTATCTTGTATGAGGGTAATGAATTATTGAATGAAATTTTCTACTACTGATCTCTTTGTGAGTTCCGATATCCTTATTACTTCCCTTTGAGAGCTTGAAGAAGAGGTGCGTGAGTTTAGAAATGAGTTTTCTCCAAATTCTTCATCCTGCTTCCAAGCTCTAGAACTCCATCCCCAATTCCTCCTTGCCGCCGGCCTTGTTGGCTCGGCTAGAGAATTGGCCGCCGGCCAATTGATCCCACCCGCTGCTAGCCCATCTGCCGACCCCCACGCCCCTCTTCCAGCAGCCACCCGTGACCCCTAGCCCACCGCTTAGCATCCACCTTGCCGCCGGTTTTCCCCCTTGGACCCAAACGTGTTTGAAGTTCAAATTTCCCCTAATTAAGTCAATTTCCTAATTGGTCTTCATCCAATTAAGAAAGACATTTAAGGGGATAAATGCTCATTTTGAAATTCAAATTCTATTCCTCTTAATAACTCAATTTTGGGAGTTACAATTTCAGATTTGATTGGGGAATTATTTATTCAAACGTGGGCCCCACCTTCTAAATTCCAAAGTCTCTCTCTCCTTGCTATATGGCCGGCCACCCTTGCCCATTAATTCTCTCCCTAATTGCCACCTAATCACCTCTTAATATCTCATTTATTCCTTTCTCCCTCTAAATCAAATTTCAATTTCAAAAATTCTGAACTTGAAATTAAAGTCCGTTCTTTTCTTCCCTAGTAAAAACCTGAATTTAGAACTCAGATTTTCTCCTCCAGAAAACAGCCACCTCTTCTCCCTTCTCTCCCTCCCAACCGAGATCCCACCTTTCCCTCAATCCCATGGCTCAAACCCTTCCCCCTCCAAGCCGCCACCTCTACTCCCCGCCTTCCTTGACTTTACTTGACTTAACTCCGTCACTTCCCAGCAAGGATGTATGGCGGATCCCGCCGTTGATCACGAACTCTTCTACGACATCTACGGAGACATCCACGTCTTAAGATCTCCTTTCTTCGACGTTGGATTTGGCTTCGACAATACTGTCGAGGAGTACTTGGATCGGATTTTACCAACACTAGTGGATGCCGTCGACGACCAATTCTCTGACTACACGTGGATCATCAAAGGTCATCCTCCCGTGCCACCTCCACCTCCGAGTTCCTTCTCCAAAGCAACGTTCATTGGCTCCTCCCTCCTCGTGGCAACCTCATTCCTAGCATGGACGATCTTCCGCCGCTCAACCTAGTTCGTAGGAAAGAGAGAAGAGGCCTCAAGCTGAACAACTCCTTATTAATCGTTGGATTCAAATCACTAGCTTTTAACTTTGCGTTTTCCTTTGTATTGGCTTAAATTGTTCGGTTAATTTCATTGTAATTCCTTTGCCTAAGCGAGTGGAACACTACGAATTTTTGTAACCGACTTTGACTTGATGTGTGATTCTATAATTGGTTAAGCTATGGTTAAATCTTCTTTATTAATCTTGTGTAACTCAACTCATGCATCACATCAAGAAGAAACATTTTTGGACTCTGTCGATTTGTATAGGCACTACATTTTTCAGTGGTCATATCTGAATCAAAATTCATTTTTAATGGATGGTTTGGCAGTAGGCACTAGGCACAACTACAAACTTAAATCTACCAAGCAAACAGGTACATATACAAGACCAAGGATGCCGCTACCAAGTGGTGGGTATAGCTAGAGAACAAGCATAGCTACACCATAAGAGTTCAATCTTGACCTACCACAAGTATGAAGCTACACAATCAACACTATCCCATGGTTCATAGAATAGGAAGAGTTTGCAAAACCTCTAAGTGAAGAATTTGCACCCCAATACGCCTGCACCCTAAACTTTTAATAATGTATTCTTAGCAATTCCACTAATTAGAACTGTTTAAAGGGAACATTTTTAATCATCTGAGTTATGCTTATACTAGCTCAAGCTGGCACCTACACTATCATTAAGAAATCATCATAACATTATAGACCTCATGAGATTGTTTCCCAATATACAAGTATAATCAATAGTATCTTCGAAATTCCTTTATAAAACACATGTTGCTTATCCAAATATAGCACCAATGGGACAACGATGCTTGCGAGAAATTATTAGTAGTGTAGCAAATGATTTTCTCTAAAAATGTGCCTAAAGGCTTATAAATCTCAATAACTTAGATTCATTCATTTTACTTTTTGGTATTCACAATGATTTCATATATATGTTTGACATTTTTCCTTTAATCAATGTGTGACGGGTATAGATATTCCTCATACAACTCCTCTTTTGTAAAGCTTCATCAAGATGATAGATGTTGGTGGAAAGATCTTTGAGGAGAAAGGTGATTGCTTGCGTAGTTATAAACAAGTAGTATGTTTGCTTATTGTAGGATGCCCTTGAAGGGAGGAAGGGGTGGTTGTTGTGTTACAATCTGATAAGGGTTTTGTGGTGTTTAGGATTGTTTTGGTATGGCACTAATTACAGTTAGCAGCTCGGTCAAAAATTATGAGCAAGGCTTGATATAGAAGGCAGAGTGGAGTGGAGAGACTTGGTTTACTATTTTTGTTGGGTAGTCATCCCTTGTCTCCATGGATTGTTAGTTTGATGGAAGAATTATCAATTACAACAAGCAACCAAAGTTTGTAATTTCATTCATTGAATCAAAAGGTTATATGAAACATGTATGTATGGAGCTACAAGAGAGAAATACAAGGAATTAAACCTAGCAGCTCGGCCAAAAATTATGAGGAAGGCTTGATATAGAAGGTGGAGTGGAGTGGAGAGGCTTGGTTTACTAGTTCTATGGGGTAGTCATCCCTTGCCTTAGAAATTAGGCTAGATTAGGGATAGAGAGTGGAGGCTAGAACCATGTGTGTTTGTTTGATGGAGGAATTATCAATTACAACAAGCAACCAAAGTTTGTAACTCCATTCATTGAATCAATAAGGCAATATGAAGCTTGTATGTATAGAGCTACACGAGAAAAAAAAGGAATTAAACCTAAACTAAGCAACATAGGTCGGTAAAGATATAATTAAAAGGGAATATACTCTAGACTCATTACATGTTGCTTTGAGAATAAGGAGGGCTCGACTAAGAGATGTATGGAATGCTTAGAACCACTTCTTTGGGGAGAGGGATTGGCAAATACAATTAAGGAAAGACAGTGGCAATTGATTTAACACATGTTGAAATCCACACTAGGAGTAAACCTAACATATATGTGTTCAAATTCCTTGTGCTTTGAATTTTGTGAAGTAAGACGATGATCTTCATGTTTTATGTAAGGCTTAAGTTCATGATCTTGTAACAGGTTGTGTACATGTTGAGGCTGCGTTGCTAACATTTTTATTCCAAATACATAAATGGTTTTCATTCAGTGCTTACAGATATGAGCTCACTTTGTTATATATACGCCAAATAAGAATGATTCTACAGGTGTACATCTATAAGCTCACTTTGTTATATATACGCCAAAACAAAAAATTTTACAAAGCATAAAAGATATAATAGCAACTAATCATCAGCAGTAAGAAAAATTCAAAATTATAGCTCATAAGTTCTAATTGTTCCAATATAAGTAAAATTTACTCTCTATAATATGAGAAATTATTATGTGCGGAGAATGGACGCAGAATACCGTCCAGAGACCAACAAGAATACGTCACGTCAGCGGTATCAAGCCGCGGTACTGAGCAGTACCGAGCACAGGGATGATGTGGCGCATTCTGGTTAGTCTCCGAACGGCATTCAACGTCGTACAGAATAATTAATCCTATAATGTCATGGTTTTAGAATGCAGCATGTCCCAAGCATGAAAATTTTAGAATTAATGAGATGTTAACTTTAGAAGTCTTAGTTCCAAAAGAGAACTGCATGGATGTTATGGCAATTATAATCATAGAAGGCATTGCTTGGGCCTAGAGAAGGTGATAGATATGGAGAAGCCAAGAACACCAATAATACCCTAACCTCTTGTAATGCATACAATCATTTTGATCATAATGTACTGTGGACATTAAAAATGATCCTGCAACTAAATTATTCACATGAGACCGGCATTCATCAACCTAATTCTCTTTTTAAAGCAAGATTTTCGGCAATCACATTGTGACAAAACTACATGATGCCAATATATAAATATCTAAAGTGCATGTAACAGTGTAAAGAAAATATTATCTATGCTTACGTATAATGTACAAAGTAATTTTCCAACAGCATCCGGGTTGATTCAAATGAGGAATCCTCACTGATGGATCACCATAAGTTATCTGCAACACATGAAATGTTTCTAAACTCAATAGACTTAAAAATAATTCAAAGTAAAAAAAAAACATGAAAATTTAGTAAGAAACATTAAGAACAAAGGATATACCAACATATATATCCCACCAGGTTTAAGAAGCCTAGATATCAGACAATCTTAATTGTCAGAAGTAAAAAATGCATGAAGTTTGAAAAAGGAATAGCAGCTGATGATTTTCTTTTCAAATGAAATTCAAAATAGAGTGAAAACTTACCTGTTCACTTCTTCTATCATCAAAAAAGCACTGAACGAAGCATCAGTGCTACACTATGATGGTAAGAGCATAACAGATATAAAAGAATCAGCAATTCAAACTCAGAGAAAATGACACAAGAAAAAAAAGAAAAAGAAAATATCAAGTTTACCATCAAAGAATCCAGAGTCCCTTCATATAAAAAAGTCAACAAGGCATCACCAAAGAAAATAAATAGAAAAAGAAGATTCATCAGCTGATAATGTTTAGATAGTTCTAAATTTTCAAGAAGTGCACCAAAGCACAATATCATTGAAAAGCAAAAACCTTTGTCAATCACAGAATCAAATGATTCGTCCTCAAAGAAGCTCATATCCCTTACATCCATTTGCAAATCTACAAACAATACCATATTAGGATACCCAAAGGACTTGGTCCATTTCTTGCTTTGAAATGAAGAAATAAGACTTGCTTCATTATTAATCTATTTTGGAAAATTGAAAAGAAGGATACACTTCAACTGAGGAATGTGCATGCATCTCTTTCTCATCATTTCTATCACTATTGATGAAATGTCAATGTTCATTATGTCTACATATCCATCCTTCACCATATCCTCCGAAATACCTGTCAAAATAATATGCATGAGATAGTAAATATAGCAAATCATTTAGGGCAGCTTGGTTGCAAGATTTAGACTTTATTTGGGACAACTTTCTTATTGCTTTTTGAAGAGCTTTTTAGTACAAAAATTTCTTGTTCAAAAAATTTTTATACTAAAAAATTATTTTAAAAAGTAATAAGAAAGTCGTCCCAAACAAAATCTTAGCCATGATTTAGGCTAAACTTGCAAAACAATTTTTAAGCCAAATAAATCTTACTTCCTTCTTAAATAAGGTTTTAGGCCAAACTGCAAATTTAGTAAATTTTGGGGGAAGGATGATTTGAAAGATTTACATCACTTCTTCTTACTGTGCCTCTTCTTTTTCCTTCATTAAAATCTTAAATCTTCAAATATATATATAACGATTTATTATAACTTAACAATATCTAACATCTATCATGTGAAATAATTTTAATATTCAGGATTTCATACCTCCAGAATTTACTACATCTAGATCTACATATTATACTAAATCCAACTTGAATTAAATCAGACTTGTAACTAAAAAAGCCCCATAAAGTTCTTTCAATTTTCTTAAAGCAAAACAAATGTGACCATACTTTAAAATACAACTTCCAACAATCCTCTAATGAACTTTATTTTTTTTAATTTCAGCTCAATCTAGTGAAGGCAGTGACATGCTTCGAACACAACAACTGTTGAATTAGAAGACACTGCCTAACAATGATAATTCTACAAGCCCTTCATAAGTCACTTCATTCAGTTAACTGATTCAATGAAAATGTCATTTATGATAAGCTAAGATACACAGAAGTAGAAAATCAATCCAAATGCAGATATTTGAATTATATATTTGTGTATAAATATCATGTAATTCGCATTCTCCCACAAGTCTAAAATTTGGGGTTGAAAACATATTTACTCATTGAAATGTTCAGCCCAACTTTGATCCTACTCCCTAACTATAAAAATGTTATTTTGTCAGCAAATTAGATTGAAACAGCAAGCCAGTAAACCTAAGAGCGAAATTTCAATCAACAAACCAAATTCTTTGAAAAGAAAGGAGGTGGAGAAAGGGGGTACGCGCATTTCCGCAGCCGACCATGAGAATTTTAGAGCAGCTTGGGATGAATTTGTTAATAAAGGGGCGGAGGGCGGAGAATCGCTGGTACCAATCGAAGGACGAGCCGGCCTGTTCCCAATACCTCGCATCCCAGTACTCGGCATCTCCATACTCGTACGTATTGCTCAGCGAAGGCTTGTTCATCGTCCTCCTCGCCGGCCAATCGATACCAAGAGAGGAGAAGTAGAGGAACACGCTCACAGTCACAGAAGCTGCGAAGTATTAGTTTTTTATTTGTGATTTACATATATATCCCGCTTTATATAATATTATTTACCTATTAAATATATAAAATTATCAAATATAAATATAAGAAAAAAAATATATAATTTATATAATTTAAATATTATTATATTATATTATATTATATATAAGAATTTACAAATAAAAATAATGGTTTAAGCTTCTTTGGTTTGAAGTAGTTTCTAGAAACATTTATAATATTCATTACGGTTTCCCTTTCAAAATCTTGACAGTTTTATTTCTTTTTCATAAAATTTAATATAATATTTGTTATAAGGGAATGTGACTTCTCCATTCAAATATTTAAAATAATAATAATAATAGTGCCATATTTGGGTATTTGTTCCAATTTTAATTCTCTTCTTTTTACTAATTCAACTAGATAAAATGTTTCATATAATTCATAATTCTCGTAATTCAGAATTATATGAAAAAGTGGCAAGAAAATGGTAACAAAATGAAATTGTGTCTGTTGTCAAAAAAAGCAAAGCACCAAGCAAGCTATCCAGAACAAATTGTAGCAACTTTTATAACAGAGTCTGTAAAGCTACTATGGAGAAAATAACTTTCTTGAAAGTTGATGTTAAAAATAATTTTCTAGCACAAAAAAAATTTAAAAATAAATGAAAAAATAGTATCAAAACAGAAACTATGTTTGTGGTCTGAAAAGCAAATCAATAAGAAAATTGTCTCAAACATACCCAAGTCTGGATGATTATTAATCTCTCAATATAGGTAAAAAAAGTTTTTGAAGGAATAGCCAAAATAAGAGCAATATCAATCAAGGGTATGTTTTGAAAGGTTCTAACATTTTATAAAATTGGTTCGGAAGAAAAACAACTTCGTTATTATGATTGCAGAAAATAACTTTCAATACATAAATTTAAGAAAAATAGTGAGAAAGCAACAAGAAAGCATTAGTCAAACGAAATTATGATTGTTGTCTAAAAACAAGGAAGCCATGCTGTCCAAATAGACTCTAAGGCTTCGTTTGGGATGACTTTCTTTCTGCTTCTTAAAGCAGCTCCCTAAAATTTTTGTACTATGAAGTTGCTTTAAAAAGCAATAAGAAAGTCGTCCCAAACGAAGCCTAAGTCCAAATCAAATTCAATTTCAATAGCCAAATAGTACAAGTCAACAACTTCTAAAGCTCAACAACAAATAACTTATGTAATTTGAGCAAAAAAATATGATATATTCCCAACTTCTACTTATGTAGTTATGCGTTAGATTTTCGCAAAATATCTATCTTTGTTAACAAAAATAATACACAAAATATAATAATAATAAATTAAATAAAAATAAAATTTATTATACATTAAATCATATTAAATCTGATAAATAATTCGTCTCAAATTTACACCACACAGCAAATCCATGCCACCAGATAACAACCCAATCGCCATCAGCATCTTCTATTCATTTTCTCTCCAAACAAACTTTTCTTGGAGCTTAAGCACAAAGGTCTCTGTCTGTCATGCTTCACCTTTCAGCAAAGACCACTACTAGCTACTATTCTCTCCTTTCTAATCAAAATTTATTTATTTTCCATTTTTCATATCAAGCAACTACTTTTAGGAGATGTTTGATTTGAATTAAAATGAATGTATGCAATTTCAAATGCAACGGCTTTTGAAAAAATTGATGTTTGGTTTGAAGTCGCCACCAACCCCCCCATCCCCCCCCAAAAAAAAAAAAAAAAATCACCCCGAATCACACTATGAAAGTGAAGGAAGAGATAGCTGATAAAGAGATGGTGATGTTGATTGACATTGAGGCCAACCATAATTTTATCTCCAATCAGATTGATGATATGTTGGGGGTGAAATTAGTGGACACTAGGGGCTATGGGGTGATGATGGGCACAAAGAAGGTGGAGATGGGTAGAGGAGTATGTAGGGGAGTAATGCTTACTATTTAGGAGATTGAGGTGACGGAGGATTTCCTTCATTTAAAAATGGGAAGCACTGACGTCTTCCTGATAGCCACCACTAGGGGTGTCAATTTTTGACACGACCCGGAAAAATCTAGGTTCGGGTCAACCCGCACCCGAAACGGGTCGAATTCGGGTTCAACAAATCAACCTGTGTTAAAAATTGAGACGGGTTCGGGTTGTCCCAACAACCCGAAATTGACCCAAAAGTGACACGAAAACTCTACTTGACCCGAAAACCCGAGATTGATCCGTTTTTTACCTGAAAATCGAAGGTTGACTCAATTTTTTACCCGAAAACTAGCAATTTTGGGTCAACCCAGGGTCATTCGTGTCGAGTCGGGTTGACCCGGACCCGATTCGGGTCGGGTTCGGATCCATAAACCTGACCCGTTTTTAAAAAATGGGTCGGGTTCGGGTTGACCCGAATATTGTTGGGTCAGTTCCGGGTTTGATCCGAACCTAAACCGTTGACCCGAATTGACACCCCTAGCCACCACCATCTTTAGATTTTACGCATGATTATTTTTATTTCAAGTAAAAAAAAAATCATATTTATTTTTTTCTTACTCATCTAAATAATTTTAAAATATTTCAAATACAATACATTTTTTTTACACTGAATCCACTGGTTACATTTATAATTATATGAATATGTAATAATGTTCGAATAGGACAATTAAACTTTAACAAACTCATCATTTTTCCACTATAACAAATTAATAATGCTTCTTCTTCCCTTCAATTTCAGCTCTAACCCCCAGCCATTTTCTGCCCCCAATTTCTTCATAAATCATAATGAGATCATGAGAAGATAATGTATTATGTTGCAATATTTATTATTATTTTTTAGTAATAAAAATATTATTACAATGCTGAGAAAATTTATAATTGTATTAAAGCAGAAAAGAATTTTTTAGAACAGTAGTTTATATTACTTCTCATATTTTTATTTTTGTCTATTTATGAATTTTTATATTCTATTTAATGAATTTATTTATTATATACTTATTAATTTTAGTTTATTATAATTTGTGAATTAAATGTTGTTCAAGAAACATAAGAAAAATATAAGAGGGAAAATTATCAATAAAAAATTATTTATTTAATTGGAAATTATAGGATTGTAGAGAAAGAAGCTATGAGAAAATTTCAAGAATAATGATTTGATTAGAAAAGTTGATATTGAGATGATATGATGTAATATTTGTACGTCTCTTATTCGGAACCTACTTTTTCAAGGAACTATATTTTTAGAGAGCCTTTTATTCTTTAAGAATAAAATTTAATTAATGTGTAGGTCCTTTCGTGAGTTTTCTCAAAAAAAAAAAAAAAAAAAAGGGGTCGAGTAGGCGTAGTTCATTTTTTTGACGAACGGAAAGTTCTCCCAACATTTATTACTATTTTTTAAAGCAATTTTTTAGTTAAAAGTTTTCGATTTCAAATAATTTTTACACTGAAAACAGCTTTATAAAACAGTAAGAAAGTTGTCTCAAACAAAGCCTTAGATATTGGGCAAATAGTTTTGTTGGATTGAGATGAGCTATTTTGAATATTGGAAGGACTAGGCCTAGTTAGTCCTTAGGTCGAGTATGCTCGAACACAATATCTTCGATAAGAATTCAATGGCAAATTCATGAAAAGTTCATTGATTATTTGATGAAATTGACAAATACATAGTGAATTTGGCAAGTCCTTTGTGAGCTTGACAAAGACAAGTTCAACATGATGATGATGATGAGTTCAACACAACCCAAAAGGGTTCAACAATTCCATTCTTTTTTACACCAACAAACTCGCGACACCAAATTAAGTTGATTTAGCTTGAACCAATATGTGTAACATTTAGATATACAATTGAGGTTTGAGTAAAATTTGTTTGATTTTTTACTTACCAAGCATCAATTCTAGGTGAATAATTTTCTTACTGTTTCATGAGGATGTACTTTGGTCTATGCTTTTTATTGATGATATTCTTCTTGTTGATAAGACTAGAGAGGGAGTTGAAAGTAAACTTGAATTATGGAGGTCAACATTAGAGACTAAAGGTTTTCGCTTGAGTAGATCTAAAACAGAATATCTAGAGTGTAATTTTAGTAGTAATAGACCTAGTGAGGGGTTTGTGGCTTTGGGCGATCAAGCCATGAATAAGAGTACACGTTTTAGATATCTTGGATCTATTTTTCAGAGTGATGGTGAAATAGATGGGGATATTATCAGCAGAATTCAAGTTGGATGGTTGAAGTAGAAGAATGCATCGGGCTTGTTGTGTAATAGAAAAGTACCCCTCAAACTTAAGGGAAAATTCTATAAGATAGTAGTGAGGCCTGCAATGCTTTATGGTGCTGAATGTTGGCCATTAAAAGAGAAGCATAATACTAAGTTAAGTGTGGCAGAGATGAGGATGCTCAGGTGGATGAGTGGCTTTACCCTTAGAGATAGGATACGAAATGAGCATATACGTGAAAAGGTTGGAGTAGCTCCAGTAGAAGATAAGATTAGAGAGAATCGCATTAGATGATTTGGTCACATAAAATGGCGGCCTTCGAATAACCCGGTTAGGAGAGTAGAGGTATTAGATTTTACTTATATTAAGAAAGGTAGAGGCATACCTAAAAAGACTTGGTTAGAAAATATTAGAAACGACCTTTCTTTATTAGATTTAAACGAGAATTTGACCTTTAATAGGACACAATGGAGAAAAATGATTCATGTAGTCGACCCCACCTAGTGGGCTAAAGGCTTGATGTTGTTGTTGTTGTTTCTAAAATAGCTTTTTAGTACAAAAATATCTAATTCAAAAATTTTTGTGCAAAAGAACTGTTTTAGAAAGCAATAAACAAATTATCCCAAACGAAGCAATAACCTTGATGAGTTAAGTGAATTTAGAGTCAACATGTTGTAGAACCTAACCACACTAATCAATTCACTTGACCAATCTAATCGAGACTAATATGAATGAACAACGTTGTAATAACACAATAGTTAGGGGTGTCAATATTTTACACGACTCGAAAATCTGACTAAAAATTCAAGTTAGGGTCAACTCGTTTGTGAAACAGGTCGAGGTCGGGTTCAACAAACTGACACGTTTAAAATATCGAGGCAAGTTCAGGTTGACCTGGAAACCTAGGAATGACCCGGATTCCAACCAGCTATACACGAAATGCCCTGTAAAAACTTGCTGACCAGACTGCCCGCCGTCATGTCCAGTGTCCGTGTTGCGTCGCATCTGTGGCGGTTCGAGTCGGGTTAACTCAGCAACCCGTGCGAGTTGGATCCGGGTTGAAAAAACTGACCCGTGTGCAAAAACAGGTTAGATTCGGGTTGGGTCAACTGGTGTTGGATCAATTCCGAACCCGACCTATGACCAAATTTTGACATCTCTATCAATAGTATAGTTTTTAACTTTGAAAAAGACAATTGGACTTTGTATTATAAAATCCAAATATCTCCTCAATTAGTTCTCTTCAATTTCCATTTGGCAAAATAGTGCATAATATCAAAAGAAATGTTATATATCTTTGTTTATAATTAATTAATTTAAATACAAAATTCTAATAGTGGCCACATGCCATTAGTTAGTTATCTTCTTTTGTTTTGATTAGAAGCTGGAAGAAGCAAATGAGCTGTTAAAGAAGAGTCAATGGATTTATTTTAAAAATATTGGTAGACCTTCTCAAATTTTATAGAAAGATTCATCAAAATTTAATCATGATTGATAAATAATTATATTTTAAATTATTTTTAGGTGAATGAAATATATGAACTCATAATATAAATTTAATAATTTTAAAATATATCATAAGCAAATTGTAATAAGATTATATTATCACATTTTTTTATTTTTCCCAATTAAATTTATTTTAATATTAGTGCAATATATACTAAGAAAATAAATTATGAATATTCCGACATAAATTCATCATATTCATTGAATTTGTATTGAGATTAGTGCATATCAAATATATCATTAATCTAAGTGCAAATCAAATAGGAATATGGTTCATGCTAATAAAATTATGTTTGGATATTTTTGCATAATTTTCTTGATATACTAATCAATAAACTCTTACATTATATTTATTTCAAACAATTTAATTAATTGAAAATTCAACTTAATTAAATTTAATAAGCTATAAATTATTTTTGTTTTAATTAGCTATATGTTTTAGATATTTAAGAAAATAAGAAATTAAAATGTTATTTTGGTCTTAATTATTTATTATTTGTAGAAGTTTTAATATATTAGTAAATTATTTAGATTATATTAATTTATTCAAAATCTTTGAATTTTCTTTTCCTAATTAAAGTTAATTTAGTTTATTCAGTTATTCAGACCTCTCTGACCCGCCGCCTCCTTAAAGAAGGGTCAGCAAAGGCGCCGGTCAGCACGACTATTGAAGAAATTCAAAGCCCTCTTAAATAATTAATTAATTAATTAAAAAAATCTAAAATTTTTAGAATATTTCCGAAAAATAACAATAAAAAAAATTCAAATTATGTGTCTTTTTTGGTCTATTACTAGCATGTTGAGTATGTTTAAAAATATATTTAGGCAAGAGGACCCAAATTATTATATTAATATAATAAAGAAAAAATTTTCAAAATAAAAAAAATTACTACAAATATTTACAAATTAGTTAACTTAGGCTTCCTTTGGTTAGGCTTACTTACTATTTTTTAAAATAATTTTTTTACACAAAAAATTTTTGAAATAGAATTTTTTGTATTAGAAAACATCAAGAAGTTGTCTCAAATTAGAGAAATTATTCTGTGCTGAGACCAGACGCAGAACGTCGCCCGGACATCAACCAGAATGCGCCACGTCAGTGGTATCGAGTTGCGGTACCGATTAGTACCGAGTCACGATACGGAGCACAAGGATGACATGGCGCATTATAATAGGTCTCCTGATTACGTTCGATGTCCTTACATAGTAATTAATTCCCAAATAAAGCCTTAATTATGAAGATTTGAAGAAAATTTTTGCAGATGATGATTTTACTTGCAAGTATTTTACAGGCAGTCAAGCATATATTTAATTTTTTTATATTAAAATTAAAAATTTTAATTATCAATGTGGATTATGAAAAGAGTTCAGGTTTTTTTTTTTAAATCATCAATTTTCATAAGAATCTCCCCCCATCTAATTTTTCCCTCAATAAAGCATTAAAAAAATTCCTCTCATATATCATCAAAGACATATCACATAAGTTCCAAAAAATGGCTCATCACCATCATCTTCCTCCCAAAGCCACCAAACTCTTCTCCACTCCATTCAGAGAAAAACCAGACCCCAAGCAAAAGTTCTCTCTCTTCCGCATCTCTCTCCTCATTCTCCTCTGCTTCGCCTCTGCTTCCTTCCTCAAGCTCTCTTCTTTCTCTCCTCCGCCAATTCTATCTTCTGCCTACTCAAACAGTTCCCGAACACATCATTCCAAGCACTCCAACAACTCCGCCTCACCGCCGCCACCCCCGCCGCCGTGCTCCACTCTCATCAACCTCGGCCCCACCACCTCCAACTCCATCAAAAATCTCCTCTGCTGCGACCGCTCCCATTTCCGCACCGACGTTTGCTACATGCTTGGCGACATCCGAACCGCCGCAGGCAACGGCCGCCGATCCATTCTTCTCGTCGGCCCCTCGCAAGCAAACAAAACGGAGGAAAAAATACGGCCTTACACCCGTAAATGGGAAACAGAGATCATGTCCACCGTCGACGAGCTCAGCCTCCGGCCATCGCCGGCCTCAGCTGCCAAACGCTGCGACGTGCGCCACGTCGCACCGGCGGTGGTGTTCTCTACCGGTGGCTATACTGGGAATGTTTACCATGAGTTTAACGACGGGCTCATTCCGTTGTACATAACGGCGGCGAGGTTCGCCGGCGAAGTGGTCTTGGCGGTGGTTGAGTACCATGAGTGGTGGTTTATGAAGTATAGGAGAATTTTAGAGAAGATTAGTAAGTATGAGATTGTGGATTTGAGAAGAGATAAGAGAGTTCATTGCTTTGATGAGATGATTGTTGGGTTGAAGATTCATGGAGACCTTGCAATTGATTCAAATCTCATGCATAATGGTAAGTTCATTTCCTTTTTTTTAATAATTAAAGTTTTTATTATGAGTTTTAAAATTATTAAAATTATCTTGAAATTAATATTGCATATGTCAAATTTATAATGCACTAATCTCAAAGCAAATATACACTACAGAAAAATCATTCATTACCGGCGGCAATTTCTGGCAGTTTAACTAAATTTTCGGGCAGTTTAAAAACTGTAGGAATAAACTAGCCGGCGGTCAAACTTTCGATATTTGATGAATTTTCTGTAGTGATAATAATTTTTAAGATCATTGGATATATATTTTTACTAATAATTAACTATAAATTTTTAAAATATTGGTTAATGATATAATAATGAAATTTTTAAAAATGATAAATATATATATTTAAAGAAAATAAATGGAACTATTTATGATTTGAGAGATTAGTTTTTACCTATTTGTTTTGTTAAAATAGTAATGATTGAAATTATTATTATTATTTATTAGAAATTTAATTTATTTTTATTTGAAGGGAAGATTTTTTATGATTTTTATGTTATTTTTTTCTAGAATGACTTAAAGAATTATCATTAAGAGAATTTATTTAGTAATTAGTTTTTATAAGGATTTAACTAGTTATTAAATACATTCAAATCAAACACCCAAAAAAATTTTTGGATTAAAGAATGTTTATATTCTCTAAGATTCTTCCAACTACTCACCTAATAAAGATCACATTAGTTTGGTTATGGGTGGGAACATGTTTAACTAATATGATTAATATAACTTAATTATAATTAGATTTTAAATATTTGAGATTTTATAAAAGAAAATTTGTTTATTGATTTATTTTTCAGAAGAAAATTACAGAAAAATTTTCTTAAGATTTATAATGAAAATAAATTGTAAATATCTTGTAACATTGAAAATAGATATTTTTGCATACTAAAATAATGCCTTTTTCAATAAAAACTAAAATAATTAAAACTTTTAATTATAAGAATCTTCTACAATTTCTTAAATAGTTATTTTAAAATTCATTATTAAGTTTAATAAATTATAATAATGCAAAAATTGTCTCAAATTATTAAATTAAAATTTTTTTTATCAAGATGAGCCTGAAAATAATTGAAATTATTTTGAGAAGAGTAAATGTAATATTTTATTTTAATTAAATTTTTATATTTTGCACTCATTTTAAAATAAATTTAATCATTTTAAATTTTATACTAAAACAACCTCTCCCAAATTTGTTCATAACAAAATTACAATCATGCCACTTGGAGCAAAAGATAATAATGATGCCAAGAGATGCTTAGCTTTGATAAGATTTATTCCATTTCATCACTAATTTGTATTAATGCATAGTAGCTTAAAAGAAATACAAAATGAATAGCTGGCATAAGGTGGCTTATCTTCTCCTTTGTTGAACATTTAATTATTTTCATTAATAAAAGAAGGGATGATTAATAAATAATTACATAATTAACCTTAGCCAATTCCATTTCTCTCTCTTTTTGGTATTGTATATTGACATTTACTTTATGCATGCCTACAAAAATGTAAATAATAATGAAAATAAATAAATATTTTTGTACTCAAATTCAATTGTAAAATTTAAAATGATTATAGCTAATAAAAACTTAATCAAATTATTATTTTTCTATAATAATAAATATTTACAATAGTTGTCATGATATGTTAATTATATTAAAAATATGCTTTTTTTATTTCTAATTGTATTATAAAAATTAGTTTATCTTCAATCTAATTTTCCTTCTTCCATTTTTTTTTTCAAATTAAATTGTGTATCTAACTAAAAAGATTAATTTTCATATTTTTTAATTTATGGGCATGTTAAGATTATTTTAACTAGGTTATGTCCATTTCTTTTAAAGATAGTCACATTATTCTTTTTAATATACATATTAGGGATGTAAGTAAGTCAAGCGGGATCATGAGCCAGCTTGAACTTGACTTGCTAATGAATTTATGAGTCGAGCTTATCGAGCCATGAATTTGAGTTGAAGCTTAAATTCAAGCTCATATATTATATAATCTCGAGCTTGACTTGGCTCAACTTATCAAGCTGATTTGATTAATTAATTAACACAACAATTTTTATATTAACATGATTAATATTTTTTTTCAAATTAAAATTAAGAAATTAATCTCCAAATTAAGTCAATCTCGAGCTTGAACATTCAAGTTAGCTTGAGCCTCATATTTCCACTTGCGCTCAACAAATGAGCTTGAGCCAAGTTGGAATTCGAGTTCGAGCTCAATATAAATTATGTGGCCTGAGCTTAATTAAACAAAGACTCGACTCACCTCGTTTACCCTCCTAATATTGGCCACATGCTAAATTGTCATAATGGTTCTAATTAATGTATAATAAAATTAATTTTGAACATATCTACTAATACAACAAATTATAACATAGACAAAAGGAGTAAAAAAAAATAATAAAAATAGAGAATTTACAAAAAATAATGATAGATTAAAAAAAAAAAAAGAAAGCAAGAGTTGATCTAAAGCTTTGCTTAAAATATAGAAGTTTTAAGACCTCATGGAAGGTTTGTTAAGGTAAATCAAATAATAAAAATTCATTTATTCAACTGCCCAATTTAATAAATTGCATGGAAAATTTTATTCATGATCTTCATGATGATAATTTTATCTTTATTTCATATTTATTTATTTATTTTGATACTGCGTTTGAATCAACAGGCAAAAGCATCCTCGACTTCCAATCTCTCCTCACCGCCGCACTCTCCTCCTCCCCGCAACCCCTACCGCCGCCCCTCCCAGCCACCGCCCACCACCGCCTCCACCTCACAATCCTCATCCGCCACCACTCCCGCCGCCTCCTAAACCTCCCCTCCATCCTCCACCTCGCCCACCACTCCGGCTTCCACACCACTCTCCTCTCCCCCAAACGCTCCACCCCCATCTCCCACCTCCACCACTCCCTCTCCTCCTCCGACGCCCTCCTCGCCGTCCACGGCGCCGCCCTCACCCACCTCCTCTTCATGCCCCCCGGTTCGGTTCTCATCCAAGTCATCCCCATCGGCCTAGACTGGGCCGCCGAGACTTACTACGGCGAACCGGCTCGCCGGCTCGGGTTACATTATCTCGCGTATAATGTGACCGCGGAGGAGAGTTCGTTATCGAAGGTCTATGGGAAGAACGACCCGGTTCTGAAGAATCCTAAGCTTGTGACCAGCAAAGGGTGGGCGGAGACTAAGAGGGTTTATATGGATAAGCAAGACGTAGATTTGGATTTAAAGAGGTTCGGCAAAGTTATTCAACAGGCGAAGGCTCATCTTATGAGAATTAAATCTAAGAAAAATATTAATTAATTTTTTTATACTTATATATATTTTTTTGTATATTTTTATAAGTTTAATATTT